TAGACTGCATAAGCTCTCCCAGGATTTATCTCCTTCCTGCCTTCAGTGTCTCGTTTAGATTCTTCACTAGAGGAACAGAGCAGTTTCAGATTGCAATTAATGTCACCATTTTGAAATGTCTACCCCAGGATGACATAAATCATGTTCTTGAAGTGTCTGTATTGTGCAATGAAGTAAAAAAAGAACCTAAACATAAACCACCCAATCTTGTAGGGTGTCATTCCTTTGCATACTGTGACACCTAAGTGATTGTGTGTGAGCTGTGTCTCTGAACTCCTACTGAAATTAACATAAAGCTAAGTCAGTGAAGGTAGATGTTATAAGTTTGCATGTATTGCCATTCCTAAGGTTAGTTAAGGAAAATCTTCCTTTTTTGACTTGTCATGTGGCAAAGCTGTGCTGAGATGGAGCTAGCAGGCAATCCCAGAAGAATTGCTACAGTTTATTTTCATTACAGTAAAACTCCTTTACATCTTCTGTGGAGTGTTGGAGTCTGACACCCACTGCACACAGTGTACGTGCCATGTCTGCTCCTCAGCATGCTCTGGATAGGTCTCTTAAAACAAAGGAGTGGAGGTGGGAGAAACTGGGACATAGCTGTCTGATTTAATTTATACCTTTCTGAAGCAAATCCTCAGCTAACTATTCAGCTGGCTGCCCCAGGCTGCCCTAGAACCCATCCTAAGAAATGCATTTGCAGAGAACATGCCAGAGGAAAATCTTCTGAAGGGAATTAGTATGCTACCATAGCATGCAGCCCTATGAACTCCTCTGCTCTCCTTTAGTGTCCATGAGTCTGTTCATGGAGCTTGTCAATTACACTGCATTTTTATTCAGTCTTTTAGACCATTCACTGGTGATTCCATGTATTTTTTGAGGTCCAAAGGAATCCATTGCAGTGAAATCATAAGGCTTATTTTAATGGCTTCAGATTTAAAAAAAATAAAATTCAAAGTGGGTAGAGAAAAAGCATTTTAAATTTAATACTGTTACCTATTTTTTTTTTCTCCAGTGGCTTATCCTAAAGCAAAAACAGTTATCAGTGAGGTAAAGATCAATGAGTTAAAACTCATCTTAATTACATTCCTAGTTCAGACTGCCTTTGGAGAAAATATGTTTTGATCCCTGTGCTTTAACTAGATTTGCACATTCTCTGAAAGGCATTACGTAAATATGTGGAATATACCCCTGACTATAAGCATCCAGCACATGGATGAACATTTCCAAGCTCCTGAGAACTCTTGCAGTTCTGCACACAATGGTGTCATTGTACAATTGTATGTCCATGTGTACATTAGGTTTTACAGCCTACTAAAAATTTAATCTCTGTTCCTCTGCTCAAAAATCTGCCAGCAATAGGTCAGCTTTCTCACAGACTAAATTCCTGTGATTGTCACTAGTTTTTTTCCATTCTGTCCCCTTTTGCTATTCTGTGCTGCTTTTAATCAACCTCAGTCAATAACGAGGTTGAACCCTGCTGGGCAGGTGGTCTGTTTCCTCAGAGGTGGTAGAATGTGCCTCAGTAGTCATCATGTGTAGTAATCTTCAGCTTAGTGACTTCAGCGTTCTGCAGTTGAACAGAACTAAGTGTTGGAAACACTCAGAAAAACTCAAAGTTGCTGTAGGTATTCATATTTCTTATCCCCTGTCTATATATTCTACATTTTCCCTATTAGGTGCTGAGAACTCTGTAGAATCCATGAGTCAAATGTAACCTGAACTGGTTTGAACAGGACTTTTTTCATGAACTGGAATTGAACCTGAAGCATTTTTCTAGTGTCTTTGTTGGTCCTGAACCAAGCTGTCTAAATATTTATTTTCAGTCATTGGCTTAGAATAAACGTTGTCCTAAAACCTGATATCCTATAATGAAGACCCGTTGAGCACAGTTGTTTTTTTTCTAATCTGCCCAAGGAGGACTGTAACTAAAATGCAGTTCCTTGGAGAAGCCAGTTTTATTTCAGGTCTGTTGTGTTGGAAGCAGTTTGCTGCTTTAGCTGTGAGTGCAAACTGTGCAAATCAGCCTGCCTTTCAGGAGTTCTGGCTCGAAATACATGCGTTTCCTATCCTTTGTGTTGCAGTATTTAGGAACCAATTGGTGGAGATGAGCAAATGGCCTAATGGACTTTTTCTGTCCCTCTTGCTGTTCTTTCTAGTAATTGCTCTCTCTCTCTCTCCTTATAAAATTATGTAGCTCCTTATGTCCCCTGTGTAGCAAAGCAAGACAGCTTCTCACTTAGCCCCTCGAAACCCACTGCAGACATAGGAAACTAGAGAAGAGGTAAAAGCTAATCTAGCAGCAATGTGAATGAGACGTTGGAGATAGATGTCAAAGTAAGCTGATGAACCACCTTGTTTTCTCATCCTGCTGAGGTGAATCTTCATTCTTAGTTCCTTATTTCATATGAACTGATTAATAAATTGCTGTTGGGCTTCACCAAAACTGGGGCAATTTCAATCAGAGATGAATCTGAATCAGAACTGATGTGAAAACTATTCAGCTTCATGTTCTGAATCTTTCTGTCATTCTATAGGAGAAACAAAGATGAGTGATCTTGGACTTTGAGAAGCAAGTACTCCTGCTTGCCTTGAAATGTAGCACAATCTGAAGACTTGTATAATCTCTATCTGCATGGCAGTTCTGGGGCTCTTTTGCCCTAGAGATTCATGGAACTGCAGTACACCTGGAAACACCATGACATAAAAACATGGTGTAATGTAATTCAAGATTGCAACAGGATGCAAATATCCAAACGGCAGAGCTGAGGTTATATGTACAACTATAAATTCATGGCAGTAAGAAGTTTAATTTTGAAATTTTAGTAATATATTGTTGATATTCATTTTGTACTGGCATTTCAAATAACTTTCTCAGAAGCAGAATGGAGAGTTCCAAGGACTGCAAAACCTTCCACCCAGATCACGGAGCAAATTTCTTTGATTTGGCAATACCTGCAAGCTTGTTAGAATAAAACCAGATGTGATAAGAACAGGTAGGCAGCCAAACCAACTTCCTACCTTCTATTTATTTACCAACAGGATTGAGCTACTGGCTCTGAAGAGAACAAAGTGCAAAGTAGGGTCAGTATTAGCTCCATACTTGAGTGTTTTTCATACCTGGCTGCAGGCACACACAGTGCTTTTTAAAAAGGAAAGTGGAAAATACTTATTACATTTAATTGCAATATGCTGCCTGAAGAAACTGTAAGTTAATCATTCATGCCAACACAACCGAGCGTGCTTGGCAGTATTTCTGCTCACATGGGGAGGCTATAACACTGTCTAGAAAATTCTGTGGACAAGAGTGCATAGAATTATGTTGTAAAGAGATCTGGTGTTAGCACAGTGAATTCATCATAATGCATCACCAGTAATTAGTGGTGTATCCAGGGGACAGTGCTAGGTCGTCTGTTCCACATCTTTGTTAATACTCTGGATGATGGGGTAGAGTGCACTCTCAACATGTTTGCAGGTGATACAAAAGTGGGAGGAATGGCTTGTTTGCCAGAGGTCCATGGTGCCATCCAGAGGGATCTTGACAGTCTGAAGAAATGGGCTAACAGGAATCTCATGCAGTTCAACAAAGAAAAATGCAGAGTCTTGAACCTGAGGATGAACAATCCCAAGCACCAGTATGGGTTGGGGTTCCCCCAGCTGGAAAGCAGCTTGGCAGAAAAAAACCTGGGGGTTCAAAACCTGCATGCCAAGATGATAAGTCTGCAAGCTAAAAAAAAGAGCCTAGGACAGAGATTGTGGAATTCCCTTCACAGAGATTTTCAAAAACCATCTGGATGTGGTCCTGGGCACCTGCTTGAGAAGAGGTTGAACCAGATGGTGTCTTCTAACCTTGGTGATCCTGTAGTTCTCTGATTCTGTGCTCATGCTGTAGATCCAAAATATCACCTTAAACCTTGTTACAGACATCTAATAAAGGCCATCTTTGTAAATCTATCTGCAGGACATGCCAGCCAGGTGAGTCTCCAGTGGGGCTACCTACAGAAGCCACTGGGACATGTATGAGTAGGTGATAGTAGAAAACACATCATGGCATTTCTAAGTCAATTTAGTAGACAAATTCCTGGAAACATTCAGAAATTTGTACTTTCTGAGTATTTGTAGAAAACATGTTCCATGTGTACTCTATCTGAAAACAGTACTTTTATACAATATAAATATATCTGTTTTATACTAATTACTACTAAATTATCTGACAGTTTGACATAGTTAAACATTTTTTTGAATTAATTGAATAATTGAAAACATGATTCAAAGGCAGATCCTTTCTTAGCACCAAGATCCCTGATTCAACAAAACCTGCCTGTGTCCCATTCTTCACTGGTATACCATGTTGCTCTAGTTTTCTCTTTCCCTAGATTTCTACCTGAAGTGATCAGGAGGGTGAATTTTCATGAGTGATTAAAGCAGTTGAGATAACGTTGTTATGTGGGACAGTGAATGTATCCCTGTGAGGATTCACTTGGCTAAAATCCTCAGTATCTGCAAGAATCCAGCCAAAATATAGTTTGTGATGGCTGCAATGGTTGTGATGACTGGTTCTGTTTAGAATTTGTTAACCTGGAGTAAAAATTAATAGTCAAGGTCAAGTGGGATAGCCCTTGGCATAGTACGTTAACAATAGAAAAGGTTTTTTCTGTGGCTGTGCTACTGCTTACTGCTGAAGCATTAAGTGTTAGATTTCTTTTGCCTGAAACAAATTGATAGAAAAGGGTTTTCTCAAAATAAGCTTATACTGTGAGCGATAATTTTTAAATGCATTGCTTTAGAGTCTGTTTCTAATATTTGTAAACTATTTCTTTGCTTCTTTGCTAGTGTGCTATGTGGTGTTTTTCATGCCATTCTTTACTGTGCAAATGAATAACAACTGAAATTGACATTGTAATGCAATTTTGGCTTCTACCAGCCTTAAAATTTATGACCCTAAGCACTGGTTTAGTTAAGTACTGGTAAATGTCTGCAAATACATGTAATCTTTTTCACAGCTGCAAAGGTTTTTTGAGATGTTCTTCAAAGGCAGTTATCCCCAGCAAGCCTTTAATAACGTGAAAGAAGCTATAAGCAAACTTCTACTCATAACTGAGGTCCTCAGTGAATCATCTGCCTCAGGACCAGGCTCTTTCAACCAGTAAGTAACTTGCAGTGTTCATTGCTATGTTGTTAAAATAGCTTCTTAGAACAGAATAAAAAGTGTAGAGGACACATGACTCCTGAAATAACAAAATCCCTTATATTTCTTAATTCTTGATAGAATAAAGTGAAGATACGTTGTACCTAGGGAAGAAAATCTTTCTACATCCACAGTGTTTCTGGTTTGTAGAGAGGTTCTGGTAAATACCAAGGACAAGATGTTGTGCCCTGATGAAGTTTTTCATGCAGCACAAATGAGCAGAGGTTGCTCACAATTGGGCTAGTCATCATTTGTATAATGCCATATTTCCTGTAAGTGAGAACTCTGACATGATTCAAATGTTTGAAGTTAGAGTAGCACTGGCTGTTCTGAATTGGCCAAGGCAGAGAACATGAACAACAAACACAGCAGAATACTTGTTATGAAATGTACCCAGACAGCAACATTCATTTTTATGTGAGTGCTAAGTCATTGCAATCACTTCCACTAGATAGTTACAGTTTTTATGCATATATCAGCATTTCTTACTTAATAAGTTCAGTAATTAATATTTGTTCTCCATATGTTGTGTAACATCTGTAAGTTTTTTTGTGGTATATAGTAAATAAGTTACTATTTATTATGTTTGTATGCTTTAAAAATACTTACGTTGGTCCAAAAGTAATGCCTCCTATTTATTTCTATTGAAACTACAACCAAAAGCACAATAACAATATTTAACATAACACATTATCAGCTACAGAACACTATTTTCCAGCACAGTCACCTCAGTAGCTGTGCATTTTCACCAGCAACGAAAAAGGGCTTGAAAAAATCTGCACCAGCAGAATCGTCCCACTGCCTCAGTCATCACTGCTGAAACACACCACCCACTGCCTCACTCTGCTGGTTTCTACAAACATTCAACATGAATCAATAAATGGGTGCAATTTTTCCTGCATAGAGGAATTCAATGACACACCTTTGCTTCATCTGCACTTCCATGTCAGACACCATTTGTCAGGCTGCCCCTCTTCTGCCATCTGTCAAATGGCAGCAAAACATAATAGAATATTGGTGGGAAGGTTCAGCCTCTGCTGCCATAGCACCAAACTCCTCTGATGTCACAGTACAACAAAATGAAATGGGAGACATTGCTTTCAGAGGAGTCCTCATATATTTGAGAACCTTGGTGTTTCATTAACAGTAATATGAAGCTCATTATTTTTCAGGAATAACCCATTGTGAGGGAAGTGGAAAGAGAGAAGGGAACGAATATAAAATGAATAAAGCTATTTTAATAATGATCCAAACTGAATATTTGTTTACCCATGGGATAGATATCCTTTATGAGGATAAAATTTTCTTCAGATTCTTGGCCCATGCCTTAAAACATCCCCCCAGGTGCAGCTAGGTTCAGTGAGCCTGGAGAGTTCCACCTGATAGACATCTCTTAAACTCCATATGTTTCCAAAGCTTTTGTGGGAGCTCATTCTCATCAAAAAGCATTTTCACAGAATCACAGAATCACAGAACTGTAGGGGTTGGAAGGGACCTCCAGAGATCATCGAGTCCAACCCCCCTGCCAAAGCAGGTTCCCTACAGCAGGTCGCACAGGTAGGCATCCAGGCAGGTCTTGAACATCTCCAGAGAAGGAGGCTCCACCACCTCCCTGGGCAGCCTGTTCCAGTGCTCCGTCACCTCACTGTAAAGAAGTTCTTGCGCACATTTGTGCAGAACTTCCTATGCTGCAGTTTCCGGCCATTTCCCCTTGTCCTGTCTCCACTCACCATCGAAAAGAGTCCGTCCTCGCCATTCTGCCCCCCACACCTTAGATACTTATAGACCTGGATCAGGTCTCCTCTCAGCCTTCTTTTCTCAAGGCTAAACAGACCCAGTTCACTCAGCCTTTCCTCATAGGAGAGATGCTCCAGGCCCTTCACCATCTTTGTGGCCCTCTGCTGGACTCTTTGCAAGAGATCCCTGTACTTTTTGTACTGATTTTGTTCTTCAGTGTAGTTCCCTTCCCACACTAGTTTAAAAGTCAGCCATACAGACATCCTTTAGTATATCACTCTTTTCTTCAGAACATGACTCTATCTTTGGTTAGGGTTGTGGACTCTTCTTAGAAATTTTTAGTCTGTATCATATGCTTTGCTTGGACAAATATATTTATGTTCTGTCATTGTAGTGTGTATTTTATAGTATCTGTCCTCACTGAATCTGATTTCTGTTGTATTCCATTTCAGATGCAGCCAATGTTTTCAAATGCTAACCTTTGACATTGGGTTCAGCACCTCCATACACCCCATAGTTCTTCAGGTGAGCAAACAACACTGAATGTTTCTTTTGTTGTTGTCATTGTTTTATGGGCTGGTTCAGCCCAGTTCCATGACTAGCGGGGCAGAGGGATCCACACATCCATACCTCCAGAAAAGGGAAACAGGGGACCCCAATTAATTAAAAACAGTGGCAACGATCTGAGGAGAAATAAACTAATTAACTAAATATGGTATAGAAATGCAAGATAACACACTATAATACAATGTAATTAGAATTAAAGACAATATTCAAATATAATGAGAGAAAGAGCATCCAAAAACTGAAAGGCCTTACACTAATGCTGAGGTGATGCATGCGGTCAGGACGAGCAGCAGGGAGGAGAGCTGAAAAAGGGAAAAGAGCAGATCAGGTGACCTACCAAGGCCTTGTATCTGTTCACCCTGAGCAGAAATGATAACAGAACAGCAAACAGTCTTCTGGGGAATGTAGTCCTTCTCTTCCAATACAGGTATCCGGATCTGGAGCATTAACTCTTTAACCCCAGTGCACTATATGATGTTATGATGTGGAATACCAATAACCAAAAATCGTAAAGCCATGACATTATGTTTTTTCCCTCCTGGAGTGCCCTGGAATTTGCAAGCTTGTTGAAGAAAAGAAGAAGGGCTTTACTGACCCCAGAAAATTACAACAAACAGAACACAGCAAAAAAACCTCAGTGATGGTTGCTCTCAAATCCCCAAGAAATGTCCAAATGCTTTAATAATATTTTTGCCTAGAAGTAGCTATGGGAGGAAGCAATTGGTGAGGGACAGATTTCTTGTGATGAAGTTCATCACACCATTTAAAGTTATAAAGTTTTTAGTGTTACAGCAATATCATCACAAATGAATATCAGCTAAACAAAATGCATAGTAAGCACTGCATTAAGTGAAGTTAGGTATTAACTGCACCAGAAAGAAAAACACTAAGGGAGAAAGTTAGAAGCCATTAATAGCTTTTAATACAGATTAACATTCTCCATGAGCTGTACCATAATTGTTCAGTTCATTTCTGCTTTCACCTTCACCGTGCTGCCTTCTTCCACTGCACTGCCCTCTTCCTGGGTAGTCCTCAAGGCCCTCAAAACCTGAAAAAAGATGACTGTTAGCATAAACTCCTTCTTACAATTTTGTACCATTCCTGTCTAATAACAGCTCGGCCAGAACAAAAAATTTACTGTTTCACAGTTTTTTTTCAACTACATTTATACATACATGCAATTATGTATATAACTGGACATATACAATCTTTCTCCGTATGTATGATATACAAACAGCAAAGCAAATATATCCTGTGAAATTAAAGGAGACGATTTTCTAAATTCATCTCCTGTTAAAATCTCTGCAGTTTTCTAATAACAATAATGCAAAGATCCTATAAACCTGTAAATAAATTCTACCTGGAGTGCTTAAAATCATAAACATAAGGTGTAATGTTTACCAGCTTTTATAGTAGCCTTAACCATCAGTCCATAATCCAAAAAAGCAGTAAATCAGAACTGTTAATAGTTTCCAGTGAGATAATGCAGTTACTCTACTAATTAAAAGTTGATACTTTCTTAGCATCGATTGAAATTTTATTTTGAATTGTATCCCCTAGAAACTGAAGTATGCACATACCCCATTCCGCTTGGTTATATTTGTGTTTGTACTAAACAATAATTTATTCATATTTTTATGACTGTATGGGTTGTGTTTGTATACTATAAGGATTATATCATCGATATCAACTCAAATACCTGAGTCTTTTAAGAGTTGTGTAAACGTATCAGCTGACATTTTTTAAAATCAAATTTCAAACGAGGTGGAAAACAGTGGTTTCACACTAGCATGAGATATTATACTCTTCCCACTAGAGGTCAGCAAACATTGTGGCGTGTGGTTTTTACAGAAAATGTGGTACAACATTTTTTATATTATAATCCTGTCTGTTTTCTTAGTGCTCTTATAGCTTTTCTTTTTTAATAAAGAATTTCAGCTTAGTAATGTGTGGTAATGGGAAGACAGGCCTTGATGTACACAATGTAAATTCTTGCATTGTTTTCTAACAGGTGCATAAAAATTTTGACTTTCAAGATGAGGAGAAATCAAATCTTCAGGACCAAATTTTCAAAGAAGCTATTTTTGAAGACACTTTTAGGCTTCTATTGTCTAATAAGTCCTCAAGTTCCAGTTTCATAAAAGCTTTACAAAACATATATGGATCAACTGTGAACAAGGTAGCTCATTGCCTCTTTGCTGGGGAAAAAGGATTGGGGTCTAATGAAAGCACATTGCTTTCCATGTAATTTCACCAGAATGTGTTGCCCTTTTCTCCATAGGATGGAATCTTCATCAAAGAAGATGGACAATGTTTGTCTTTAGAGGAGATAAATTCAATGATGACATTTGTTAAAGAGGTGAAGAATCTTGGACAATTTGAGCTGGTAAAATAAACTATTCTGTTCTACTGGGTTTGTATTTTCTGTGAACCTGCTAGTATTACTCCTGGATTACCATTCTCTGCTGTCACTGCATGTGTCTGACTGAATGGATAGGGAAACAGAGGTAGAGGTTATAATGATTTTATTCTGGATTTTTGGAATTTATAGTAAAAGAGAAAATGACATGAAACACAGACTTGAGCTAAGGAAAGAAAAAGAAGAAAAATGAACCAGAAAGTAGAAAAACAGGAAAAGGGAAAAAAATACGTAAAAGTCGTCTACAGTGGTAAGAAAATAGAATGAAAGTGAAGCAAAGGGTGTGTGAATGGAAAAACTGGAGGCTGTTCAATACGAAGATCATTACCAAAGAAAAGACAGATACGAAAAAGTGGATAAAAAACACAGGTGGAATATGTGATATCTCTTCTTCAAAATTATAGTGAGTTGTTTTTAGGAGAGTAATAGAGATAGAGGAATGGCAGCCAGTGTCCATGAGTAGGCATGATAGTTAATGAGAGAAAATGCCTGGTATTGAGGTGGAGGACTGGGGAAATGAATCACCAGAACCTGAATGTATTGTTCAGAGAATGTTCATGGCATCAGGATTTCCAGGATTTCTTCTAGGCTTCCTGATTAAGTATTAGGGCTGGAGACTGATGAGACTTTTAAAAAGGGAATTAGTTATTAATTATCTAGATGTGGAAGCCATGTTAGAGGCTCCGAGTGGAAAGGGAATTAGACTTCCACGTCAGTACAACAAGCAGGACTGATTTGCAGGGATGGGCAAGACAGTCATTTTCTATAGTTGTGTGAAAGAGAATTTACATTAATATATGTGTATGCTATATACACTGTCTCCTGATATTTTCTCAGTTCTGTGCAATTTACGAATATTATAACATGCAGTCCCTAATCATCGTATCTCTTCTCAGCTTTACCCTTCTGCTGCACCCAAGATCCAAACCTTCCTGCGTGACCTTTATCACATGGTAGACCCAATGAGACAACTTGGTTCAGTCCTGACGGTACATTGGTTGCTTACCAGCTTGCTTGAACAATTCCAGTTCATGACCAAAAAGACACTTACAGATCTTTCAGAATGGTAAGATAGCTATTATACCATATACCAAAAACAGTTTCTGTAACTATGTAATTTGGAATAACAGCAGTGAATACCATGAAACATAATTCCTCGATAGGTGTAGGTGAATTTACATCACTTGACAGTAAGGTCCATCATCCGTCCATGAAGCACTGTCTGACATTCTGCCATTAAAGCTGCAGCTAGATCTCAACATATGACAGTTTTTCCCTTCTACTTCTACCACAGAGATCCATGAGTTAAAAAAATAATTGGAGGTAATTCTTTTTTCTAAGAAATGTAAAATGAATTAGGTAAGTTGTTCCTGAAAAATGGTGAATTCAAAACTAAGTGTTTACCACTCTAATTTAATTTGTTCAATTATGAACAAAACCGTAAAGAAAATATAAAATTTTAGGTGAAGGTTTATCCAAAAGGGATTAATGAATTTTTGTGGCTCTAAATTTCCCATATTTTACGAGAAACAGGTCAAAGAGTAGGATGCACCAAGATCCTGATTTAACTCTATTTGAAAAGCTGGGAGAATACTGTCATAACAAGATGAAATCAATTGAGCTTTTGGTGAGAGATTATAAACTTGAATAAGGAGGGAGACAGAGAGGAAAGAAGGAAGATATGAAATAAAAAAGAGAGTAAGGAATGAAGAGAAAGAGAGTTAAAAGATGTAGTATAAAATGTATTGATTTTAAAAATTGGGGAAAAAAAATTTATTTTGTGCTCTTTATCTCCCAACTAGAGACATTTTGTATACACATATGCCATAATTCTTTACTGAATAGAGGCATATGTACTGCTTATGCAAACAGAGGCATGTGATGTGTTCCATTTCACTGAGTCCCAAGACAGGCAGCAACATTATTGAGTACACTTTGCTTGGAGAATGCTAAATTCACTATATAAGGCATCTCTTAGACTTCCTGAGTTTTAATTTTGTTTCTCAGTGAATTGTGTGTAACTTTAAGGAGTTATCTATATCTTTGTTTGCTTATCTGCAAAGCGAAAATTATACTTCACCACTGTGTTAGGTAACTGTTTATTAGTATTTTGAAAATACACAGTTCCATGATTGTGTTAAACATTATTGTTGTTACTACTGGCCACTCCATGATAAGTAACTCAAAGATGCAGCTGTTTGCATTCATGTATAAGCCCTTGCCCTTTTGCCAAAATACTTTGGTTTGCATATCAAAGCATACCAACCCTTAGCAGCTTTCTGTTCTAATCTAAGCTGTGCCACTCACTTACTTTGAGCAACTCCCTGGCCTCTTTTTTCTTCGCACTGAACATTTACTATATGTATATAAATACTTAGTAGTACCATGACCTTTCTCCAGGACAATAGACAATTTCCTTCTTTGCACTGTATTTTTCTGCAATGATTAAGTTAATAATACCATTCTTCACATTCCCTTCATTAAAAAAAAAAAAAAGCATGTTTTGCCATTGCTAAATCATAATTTCCCACTCCTATAGTCACATGCAAGTGAAGGTGATATATGTGTCAGATATGCATGTAATTATTCATAATTGCAAGGAAGAAAGAGGTGAGTAAAGCATACGCCCCAAATAACTCATTCTCTTTGAACGTTGATTAATCTTTGAGATTCCCACTTTTGATGAGCTTGTAGATCACAAAATCACAGAATTGTAGGGCTTGGAAGGGACCTCAAGAGAGCATTGATTCTAATCCCCCTGCCTAATCAGGTACCCTACAATAGGTTGCACAGGTAAGCATCCCTATGGATCTTGAATATCTCCTTAAAAGGAGATCATCAGAACACTTTTTTATGAATGTCTTCAGTTAAAGACAGGTTGGCTGGTTTAACTGTTAACATTTAACTGTTCTTATTTCTCCAACTATACAAACTTGGTATTTATAAAATCCAGTGATTTGCATATCTGACTATCCACCCAGACAGTGTGGATGCTTATGGGAAAAATAGTGACTTTTGACTTAGGTCTTGTGCAGTTATGCAATTCACTGATAATGATTACATAGAATTGAGCTATTATTTTAAGAGGTTTTATGGCCTGATTTTGTCTACATTGAAAACTTTGGTGACATTAGAGAACTGTCTGTATTTGTTCCGCAGGAGAAGGAAGAAGAGCTCGATAAACTCATCTCCAACTGCAATGAAATGGTTACAGCCCAGGTGAGAATGACAATCTCAGAGGTGTTGGTATAAAATAAGACGAAATTCCTTGAAAGTGATGGAGGGATGCTACCTACATTTACGTTAAAAGTACATTTAAACTGATTTTTTGCTGTTCGTGCATGATTTTTTGATTCTGTGCAGCTTCAGTTTGTGATATGACTGAGACATACATGATTGTCTTCTAGAACATGGGCTATGAGGTACTGTGGTAAGTATGCCTGTCTGTGTCAAACAGCACAATAGCATACAAGAATCAGATTTATGAGAAAAAATAACCTTTCTCTTTTGTATGAGAGCCTAAATAGGTCAATAAAGCTGCAAATGCTTTTACAAAATCAACTTATATATTTGGAAAAGTACTACTAGCTTCTTTTACATAAGCCCATTATTAAGTCATGAACAGCAGCCCTCAAACTCAATTTAGGCTGAAAATAATTTCTTGGTGTTTAATGTTGTTATGCTCATTGCCTGGACAGTTTGGGAAACAAACGTAGTTCCAACTATGAGGCAAAAGAAGAGGGCAAGGAAATCAGGGATAAGATCTGCTGTAGGAGGAGTGCAAGAGAGGGAAGGAAGGAGGGAGAGAGAATTGGAATTAACTGCCTGGAAAAAAATCCCACACTTTAGTGTGCAGTTCTGTATTCCTCTTCAGGAAACCAGTACAGAGTACCTCATTCTGTGAAGCAAATGCCCCCATGGAAACTCTTTGGCAGAAGCCAAAGAAGTGGTCTACAGCACATTTAAATAGAAAATCTGCTAGTGGTCATCTGTTACAAAACAATCTCTGGTGGCTCCTCATTTTCCAGAGACCTACAAAACATAATCTAAAGAGGAAAAAAACTCATAACTCAACTGAATACTGAGAACATAGTCTCAATATAGATTTTGTGATCCATTGAAAACTGCACAGCTCACAACTAACACATATGTCAGAGCTCCAGAAGTGCCCAGGCTTTTCCCTTTTTCAGTTTTCACAGAATCACAGAATCACCAAAGTTGGAAAAGAACTCCAAGATCATCCAGTCCAACCATCCACCTATCACCAATAGCTCTCACTAAACCATATCCCTCAACACAACATCCAAACGTTCCATGAACACCTCGAGTGTCGGTGACTTCACCACTTGCCTGGGCAGCCCTACTCTTTCAGAAAAGTAGTATTTCCTAAAGCCCAGCCTAAATCTCCCCTGGCACAGCTTGAAGCCATTCCCTCTAGTCCTATCACACTTACACAAGAGAAGAGGCCGACCCCCAGCTCACTACAACCTCCCTTCAGGTAGTTGCAGAGAGCAATGAGGTCTCCCCTGAGCCTCCTCTTCTCCAGGCTGAACATTCCCAGCTCCTTCAGCTACTCCTCATAAGCCCTGTGCTCCAGACCCCTCACCAGCTTTGTTGCCCTTCTTTGAATCCGCTCCAGGGCCTCAGTGTCTTTCTTGCAGTGAGGGGCCCAAAACTGGACACAGTACTCGAGGTGTGGCCTCACCAGTGCTGAATATAGGGGGACAATCACTGCCCTGTTCCTGCTTGCAACACTGTTTCTGATTTAAGCCAGGATGCTATTGGCCACCTTCTTGGCCACCTGGGCACACTGTTGGCTCATGTTCAGCCGAGCATCAATCAATACCCCCAGGTCCATTTCCTCTACGCAGTCCTCCAGCCACACCGCCCCAAGCCTGTAGCGTCGCCTGGGGTTGTTGTGGCTGAAGTGCAGGACCCAGCATTTGGCCTTGTTGAACCTCATCCCATTGGCTTCAGCCCAGCTCTCCAGCCTGTCCAGATCCCTCTGTAGGGCCTCGCTAACCCCAGGCAGATCCACACTTCCAGACAACTTGGAGTCATCTGCAAACTTAGTGAGGGTGCACTCAGTGCCCTCATCCAGGTCATCAATAAAGATACTGAAGAGGACAGGCCCCAGCACCGACCCCTGGGGAACACTACTCGTGACCAGTCACCAGCTATTCAGCTGATTTATCTCCATTCACCACCACTCTCTGGGCCCGGCCTTCCAGCTAGTTCCTTATCCAGCCAAGAGTGCACCTGTCCAAGCCAAGCACTGCCAGCTTCTGCAGAATACTGTGGGAGACAGTGTCAAAGGCTTTGCTGAAGTCTAGGTAGACCAGATCAACAGCCTTTCCCTAGTCTACCGGACGGGTCACTAGATTTTAATCTTATGGTGAAATGTAACTATCTCTATATATCCCTTATTGCTAAGCTATATTACTACAACTGCTGTCAATCATTTAGATTTCTCTTTTGTTGAATCACAGTGAGTCCCAGAGGACATATTTACTGTAAACATTTTGTGAGGTACACAGAGGAGATCTCCCAAAAGGTATGCTCACAAATATACATATACCAAGGGTACATGATGTACAGACATCTACAATTACACCTAATAGTAAAGTACAGAGGCAGTGTGCTCATCTGTGCTTGATAGCTCATTCAAGACAGTGAGTAAAACAAACGGGGCAGCTCTTACAAGTGAACGTCCTTTCTTGCACAACAGTGTGTGGAGGAAAGGATTATGCTGCATCCAGGACCTCTGCCACTCTCTGACTGAGGGAAAGCTTCGTAACTTCACCATTCCTCAGTCCTGCTGATGGAAGGAGCTTGGAGAAAGGAAAATGTGATGATGCTGATGACTGAAAAGCTAAGTCTTCAGCAGTGATGAGTACAGTAACCTATCTTTCTATAATACTACTTCTAAATATTAAATTTTGATACCTTTCTGTAATTAAGTGAGCTATTATATGAGTCTTAATGTTTGATGATAAACATAGTCCTCTTACAGAATTGATGCACAGAGGTCATGAAGTTCTTTAGTAAGCTGGGCCCTTGCAGTGGTGATGGCAGCCACATTCATTTGGTGCTCTCTGGCTAAATGAAACTCTAACATTTTCTAGAGTTAAGACACCTTGTTTTGACCTTACAATTGCTTTGGGGAGATTGCAATACAAAAAGGAACAGTGGCGAGAGAAAAAAATGTATTTGACAGGTGTTAGCCATTACCTCCTTGGCAAGAAGAAAGCAGAGTATTAAGTGACTTATAATGTGGAAAACAAGCTCTCTATTAGTTTGTTGTCTCCTTTGAAAGAGGTCATGAATGTGCATGAAATAAGGGCGGTGTCTAGACAGTGCAAGATGTCAAAACTACATGTTCATGCACATACAAAGACACACAGATCTGCCAAGAGACAGCTGTTTTTTACCCCTTATCTCACTGAGATAATGCAGGAATCTGTTTCAGTATTTGACAGTTTGCCTTTTACTATGATGGACATTAGTATTGTTTTCAGTAGTTCCTGGTGAAACATCAGAGTTGGCTGTTTGCACGGAACCTCCCCTGCCTATCACAGAGAATGACCTTGAGTCTTTCAGAATTCAAAGTGAGCGGGCAGTATTTGGGAATAAGCTTCCTTATGAGGGCTTCTACAGGAAACACTGGGTGGGAGAAAAACATCTGAAACTGGATCCTAAAGCACCCTCTTAAAGGGTCATATCAGCCAGAGTTCAGTTCATGAACTAAGTTCAAGTCTAACTTCAATCTCAAGCATATACAAAAAGGCAGTATAAAACTGTTAAGAGATATGGCATGGGTTGTTTTATTCTCAGCTGTATCTACTCTGCCTTTTCCCAGCAATTCAAGTATTTTTTAGAAATTTATTTTTTATTTTCTTTCTCTTCATGGTGTATAAAATTATTTATTACAAAGTAAGTTTTTTCTATCACATTCATTCAGGTAGCATTACTAATTTTGGGAACAGGCATCCAGAAACTACAACTTTCCACAGAGGATATCAAATTATCATCTGCCATGCAATGCCACATATAATTTTTTGAAAAATGTTCCATGAATTCTGTTTCTTCCACTAATGTAGAAATGTATCTGCTATTGACAGGAATTCTTCTCAAGAAAATGTGATTCCAAAGCAGAACTTTCATTTTCGCTTGTGGAAGAATCATGAAGGTATGGGAGAAGAGTAAAACATTTCATATGGAATATGTCTTTGCTATTTTTAGTACTTCTGACAATATATATGATTTAGATTACACAATTTTGCATTCCAGCTGGAAGATCTTGACTTACTGCATATAAAAAAGCAATTTCTTCCTTATCTGCATAAGTGTTCTGCTGAGTTGATGAGCAGTGTTCTTGAGCCTAAAGCTAAATCTGACACTGCAAAGATTTTTTTTTATGTAATTACCAAAATGAGGGCTCCTTTTGCCGTAGGATTGTGAATCAGGATTAGAAAATAAAATTTATGTTTCTGTTTCTTTCAGCATTGCATTATGCCAGTAAGACTAAAGAAATTCAGTGCAGTTATGGTAAGTCGAGGGTTTTCTAAATCACTAGGAGGGAAGACAAGATATTACCTGAACAAATTTCTTGCCTTTTTTTCTACATAACCCTTAAATGAATTGAGTGCCTGTAAGCTGTTACATAACAAGGGAATTTTAAGTAGAAATAATGTTTGTGAATTGCTCAATAATTAGGCTGTTATGTTAAATAAGCCTCAAGTACAAAATTAATGTTTCTATATATGAGTACAGTGCATATTCCAACACTCATTGATTCCCTGCTGTACTTCAGTAGACTTTGCTCCTCATTTACAAGAATTTTAGCATACACCTGTTTTTGTGGACTAGCTTTTAAGCTTGCATGGAGTTGAATCAGCCTTATATCAGGCCAGCTCTCATCTCGGTGATTTTAAATAACTGCTTTAGAGTAGAAGAGTTTTCTGAAGTGTTCTGCTTGTAGTGCTGCTGTCTGTACTAGCAACAGTGCTTTCTTCTGCCTTCCCTACTGATGTATTATCTGAGGAATAATTTGCTTTTCAATGTGAAATAATTGCTTTGCAGAGGAGAGGCTTTTCTACTCATTCAGCTACTTTTCCTCTCTGTTAGTGATTGTAACATGCTTCCAGGAGTGCCTGTGTCAGTCAGAGGCCAGGAATAGTTCGTGGTTGGCTGTCATCACCATATGATTGGTTGCCATTTAATTTTGAAATTATCTCAATTCATTTTATTTTGAAAATTTCTCCTCTGGTTTTAGCAATTAGTGACATAATCCCTCTAGGTAATGTGTAGAGTATCTGGGGAACAGTTTATGGTGCCATAAAGTCAGTATTTCTGTCAATTTATGAGTCTTTATTACCCTGCAAATCTAGCCCTGCCCTTTCTCTGGAACATCTCTCTTTACTTGCAAGATTACTGCAAGATTACTGAAATTGCAAGATTACTGAAATTGCCCTGTTTTGTCTCTGCAAGATTAATGAAATTGCCCTGTTTGGTTTCTTTAGTCTGCAACTGAGGCAGGAAAGACACAGAAATGCATGCATCCTTCTGAACCTTAAAAAAAAAACAGTTTAAGCCACAAGATTAGTTCATATATTACCGAGAATTTTTCTGGCTGAAGTATTTTCTCAAGTACCCAGTTTTAAACACATACTAGATAATATATGTGGAAAGAAAATTTTCAATACGTAATTGTTCTGTAAATCTGATTTCAATAGGTTGGATTAAAATATTTGTCACAGATGAGTTGCCAGCAAATGATTATTCTCAGGAGTCATTTGGCAAACACTACAAAATAAAAGATACATTTGAGCAAATAGGATCTGATTGTGGAGATTTTATAAACAAGAAAGTATCTGGAATTTTTTTATTTAGGAATTTTAATAAATCATGCTTCAAGCTGTACTACAAATGACCCCACGAGTCTAGATATCTCCATGTGACTTGTTCTTAGGTCTAACATACTTTGATTTTTATTGGCAATAACACATGTACATAAACCCTGTACACAGGCTGGTACCTAAGAAGGTTATGAATTTTGGCCTAACTTTTTTTCAAGGTCCATTTAAACAACTAGAGGCAGGATCTCGCAGAGCTAATCCTCGCATTTTCAGATGCTTATCGAGACTTAGAAGTTTATGCCTCTGACTAGAGTCATTGGGCACTGAGTGACTAAAATCCCTCTAGGGCTTGAAAATGGCTCTCAAGTGCCAGCCAGCAGGACTTTGCATCAGGATTATCAGTCTCACAGTGAGCAGGCAGTTAAAATCTTCCTACTGTGCATGTTATCAATCTGCCAGAAGTTGCATGTTACTTATAAATGTTCATACATTTCACTGTTTTTCCTTTGATGCCTTCTTGGAACAGATAAAGATACCCTATCTCATATCAGGCAGATCTTCACCAGTCCACAGCTGGACTTGAATCCTCAGTTTAACCCAAAAATCAAGGAGTACTATGCAGAAGTCCCATTTGACGTGGTAACAGTGAAGATTGGAGCAGAGCCTTCTAACTGTCAGTGCCAAGTCCACCTTGATGAGATGAAAGGACCAAGGTATTAGCAACAAAATAAATGTTTAAAAGCTAAAAGCGTTGTAAACTTCAGAAATATATCAGGGCAGCAGTGAAAATGAGCTTTCATAACCAGGTCTTGATTTTGCACCACAGCCTGCTCGACTTTCTCCCTCTGCCAGCAGTTTGCTTAGGTAAGGTGAGAAAATAAGTTCAGGTGTATACATTCAGAATGATCAATTTTTATCATATATTATATATATAATATAATATAATAATATAATATAATAATATAATATTATATCATATTTTTATCATACCAATCCCTACATTGTAAGGAACTGACATCAGGAAGAGTACCAGGTTGTCCAATCTTATTGAGTGATATAATGCTGGAGGACATGTGAGAGAGCAAAGTCATCAATAAATACCAGATTTGAGCACTCACCCACAATCATGTATGCTGTTTAATCATTTCTGTAGTCCTTCCTACAGTTTTGGGTTTCTCAGCCAGATTTATCACAAACAGCAGAACGTGTATCCAGTAGACATTTTGGGCCAGACCACCCTGCTTTTGGATATCAAGAGGGTCAATAAGTGCGTGTTTATCTGCACCAGGTGCTTTAGAACCTGAGGGCTGGCCTACATGCTCAGTAGCCATTAGTAAAAGATTTCCTTGCTTAGCACTGAAGATTTAAAAGGGAAAGGAAGGAACAGTGATTCACTAAACTGGTTTTTCTTTATGGCACAAAGTATTTATACAACACACTGCCTTTCAACTGACTGCAAAGCGGATACTTCAATTTAGAATGCTTGATAATATGCTTGATAATATATAAAATGTCAATCAGTGCTGGTCTGTACAGTTGTTGTTGGCCTTATATCCAGTGTATTTCCTGTAATTTCAGTAAGAAATCAATCTTTGTTTATGATTGAAATGAAAGCTCCTGTAAAATTCTGTCATCCATCTTTGCAGTGTGTTAATGTTAATAGTTACAACATATACAGGCACTGCGAGGTAATGAAGGTCTGCAAAAAGGAGAGCTATTCCTTGTAAAAGGCAAACAGAATAGCCGTATGCCCTTTGCACTGAAAAGTAAAAGCTCTGGATGAGCAGGCTTGGTCTTCTAGCATTCTCATTTCACTGCAATCAGAAGAGCACAGTTGAGCTTTGTTTTTGTGTCAGACTGAGTCTGGGATTCCATCATGTTTGGCTAGTAACAATTTCCTCAGATAGGTGACACTTTTTGTCTTGATTTGTCTTCCTTTGGACTTCACTCTGGACTTGGACCTGCCAGGAATTATTGTCCCTAGTGCCTTCATTCACAGATTTCCCATCAAAATTATCACTGCCACTGAAGTTGTTCTTGCAAAGTTTCATTATTTTGTCTTCTTGAAGGAATTTTAAACTTTTTAGAGAACAGTGTGTGCTGTTTCTATGTAAAAGCAAAAGTATTACATAATAAACTTTTAGAAATTGAAGTCTCAAGGAGCAAGTTTAGCTGCCATAGAAAATGCAGTGAAAATCTTTGTTTCTTCAGTGTTAATTCCACTTTCTTTCTTTTTTTCCCCCTTTTCAGCATTGCTAACTACCCACTTGGCCTTGGATTGAACAAAATTGTTGTTCTTGTAACAGATGATTCGCAGCCCAGTCCTCAGGTTGTGAGCAGCTATAAAATCAAAATTTATCGAGAGGACCGCCCTAGTCTGCCTTTGTTTGATGACTATATGATTTGTGGTTTTGTGCAGGTATTGTTTCTCTTTTCTTTTATTACACAAAATAATAGTGGATTTTTCTGGTTTCTCTGTATAGTGTCGGATTTGGTGAGATTAGAATCTGGGCTCTAATTGCTATAATTGTATGAAATACAACATTTACACAAGTTTTTCAGTATAAAATTGACCTGTTACAGTCAGCATGCATTTGAGAACTCTAGGTTAATTAATCCTTTCTTCGGTCAGCCAAAGATTACCCATCAGAGAACTTGCAGGAAAACCATCTCAGTACTATGTGATGGGGCAGACTGGACTTTCTGTACCTGTCTATCTGTGGCACTGGAGCTGTGGAAATTCTTTTACCACAAAATGTTAGATGTTGGCACATTTAACACTGTTCAGGACAAATGATGCTAGAAAATTTATGATTTAAAAGTGGTTATTCTAAAAGCCTAAAAGACACAATGGAAAATAAACATGCAGAAGCACAAAACACTTGCTCAAAGGAAGAGACAATTTCTGCTTAAATCCCATTTATCCAAACGTAAGTTTGGGTATACAAATAAATTACTCCTAGCAAATGACAATCTTTAGGAAACAGTGGGTCTGTTGAGTAAAAACAAAGTGTGAGAGTCTGTCCCATAGGTCTTAGGAAGGGACTGTGGGAAGCTGAGATAGATAGACACAAAATTGGAATTAAAAAATGAAAGAAAGGAACAGTGAAGCTTCCAGTTACTTTCACTATGGTGATAACAAAATTCTTCGGGAAAAAAAGAAAACCTGGAGCATAGCTCTATTTTCCTTTTCCAGTTTCTTTCTGTATACTACAGAAGTTATTTTTGGTGGGCAAAGTCTGAGCATTTTAAGCGACGGATCAGATTAATAAGTTCAGGGGTTTTTTTAATTGTGAAGAAACAAGCAGTGGAATTTACAACAAGACCCAGTGATATTATAAATGTTGATGGACAATAATTATCTCAATCTGTAAATCAGAACTGTCAGATAAGATATATGTAGCAGTCATAGCCTACTGACTGCTGATCTGCCTACCTGATTGTGATGAGTCTAATACCACACTACCCATTTATTGACTCTTCTTCTCAAAATTAACTTACAAACTTAAAAGGTCAAGGACCACCTTTTTGTTCTTTGTACTGGCTCAGTACTAGATCTAGTAGTTGCTACAGTAAAACAAGCAAAAATTAAAGCATGTAATGCCTATGATTTCTGTTCACATGTACAGCAACTAGCCAGATATCTTGAGTGTGTGTTACTAGGAGCAGAACTCAGCATCTAACCTTATTGAATTTCATGACACTGATGATTGCCAATGCTTCAATGTATCCAGGACCCTCTGAAAGGCTTCTGTCCCTTGAGAGAGCCAGCAGCACCTCCCAGTTTGCCATCATCATTGAACAAACTGAGAATGCATTCTACTCCTGCATCCAGGTCACCAATAAAAATGTTGAACACAACCAGCCCTAGAATTAAGCAGTAGTGACAGGCCACCAATCAGATGTGAGGTCCGCTGTTAAGCCACTTCATCAAGCAGCATGTAGCTGTTCATGTCACAGTTGGACAACCTGTCCAGAAGGGTGCTGTGAGGGACAGCATCAAAGACCTTACTAGAATCCAGGACAATTATATCCAGCACCTTCGCTTCATGCACTGAGTGACCTTATCATAGGAGGAGATCAAATTACTTAGTCGGGACTTTCTCTTTGTGAACCCATTTAGATATCACCTGGTAAAAGCTTTGTTCTTCAAATGCCTTCAGCAGCATCGAGGATAATTTTGTCCATAATTTTTCCAGGGGCTGAGGTCAGGCTAACAGATCTGTAGTTTCCTGGGTCTTCTCTCATGCCTTTTGTAGATGGATAAAATGCTGGCTAGCTTCCAGGAGAGTATCACTAAACTGAGCACTAATAGAAAAACACCCTGTCTGAGATGATGTGAGGAAAGCCCCTCTTGTCACCCAATTTAGAATGGCATATCTAGATGTAGAAAAAGGAATTCAACATCTTGCACATCCTCCCACACTAGAATTTACACTGTTGTTAAGGTTTTATGATAGCATTTATGGGACTGAAAATGAATCTTTGAAGCACTGTCAAGGTAAAGAGATCTAGAATGATAAAAATGAAACATTTTAGAAGTTACTTTTGATTGAGCTTAGTTTACTGCTCATCTTGAATAACTGCTCTCTAATTAAACATAATTGTTCAGAGCTAGGGAGGACTCAAGGAGTTTAGAGTAAAAATGAGATGAAAAGCATTCTTGCGGTATCTAATGAAAGCTCTGAAGATACAGTATGAGATTCTAAATTAACGTTTTTTTAGATATGTTAAAGGTAAACTTATCAGAGAGCACATTTCAAAAACAAAGGCTGGAGCTGGTGATAGACATGACATTCTGAAACACTCAAAAGCATTGTCCTTTTCCATATTTACTACATCAGTTTCCTGCCTTTTACTTAGAGTGACAGTTTCTATCAGTTGAACGCTCACTTCTTAAATAGCATAATTACACTCTGCATTTCATACCAGTGAACATCACGGGCTCTTACAAGGGGGGTTAATGCAGCCTGATCAATGGCATGAGTGCTTGTTCTCTTAGTAACAAGACACCTGTTTTAGGAGCAAAAGGATAAATACAGCGTGAACTGATGGAGTCTCCATTGGACACTTGACTAGGCACAACTGGGATCACACATCGGGAGAAAAAGGACACTAACAGTGGTGTGGTCTTTCTCACAGAAGGCTTCAGTTAAAATTCTAATCCATAGTCTTTTTGCCTGACTTTCTTTTATGTTTAATCCCATTAGGATATTCAGGTTTCACTGCAAGCTGATACTATAAGGAAAGTTACCATAAAAAGACAGAGTGTGGGATGTTGTTTCCAGTCTTCTAACAATTCCCATGCAGTTGAATAATCCTGGATTAATATCAAGGCTATTGAATTAAGAAGTGTGTGGTTCCAAGCCTTGCAGCCTCTAAAAGGAAAAAAAAGTATTGTCCTGTCTCCTTTTTGATAGTAGCTGTAATGTCCTTGTTAAAACCAGATTAGTTGGGGACAAATCATGGCATCACCATAGCACCTTCAGTGACTTTCATTACCTTTCATTATGTATTCTGTGTTCTGACAGTATTGCTGGGGCTGCATGTGGAAAGGTGGTTGTTGGTTGGTGCTTTAACTTAATTTTACAGAACTGTTGACAGTGTTCAAAATAAGTGTTCTTGAAAGAGGAGGTGCCATTTAATTATCCTCTATGAAGCTGCAATACCAAGACAGATGTAAGAAAGCAGAAAAAAGCAGGATATCAGCATTACACTCAAGTGAAAGATTCCAGAGCTACTTACACACACTATCAGAAAGAACAGACTATTTTATTCATTCTTGCAGGGCCCACTGTCTTTAAAACACAAGATTTCAATATACCTCATTTGAAAGGTATGAATATTATGTCTTTCATTGCTACTCTATGTAGCTTGGGTCATTGATAGTAACTCATGATGTGTTTGGGGAACCTTGTTTGGCACCGTGAACATTTGTAGCTGTCATATCTCGCTATCACATGTTATTTATGTGTATATTTTAGTAATACAGTTAATAATTTTGTTTTGCATTCATTATGAGAGATCGGTAGAATTATATTTCTAGCCACAGTGTGTATCATCTGCTTTGTACGTTTGCATAAAACTTGCAAAAGCACCTTCTAGAATCAGTCCAGTGCAGTGTGTGTTTTAAGGATGTTCAGCCTCTTCTACAGATTTCTCATGTCTGAGAGAAAGAAAATACGATAGAATAGCTTTAAATCTTGTCCTCTTCAGGACAGGTTTGAATCACATTTGTCTCTTCTGCAATTCCTGTCTGTTGCATTAGATTCTGTGTAACCTCCATGATGAACCATACATCTCTTCTGTTCTTAGTGCACTGTGGATGCTTTGTGCAGACTTTTATTTTTTTGCAGTACTCACTGTGGTAGCAGTCAACCTTCTTGGCAGTGCTGCATTCATGTCACTATAAGACATGCAGAAGGTGCTTCTCTTGAACTGAATATACAGCCTAATCGTATCAGCAAGTAGATTTTATCTTACTTGCAAAGTCAGCTAATTTCCCCTTCAGAGAATAAAAGAAAATAAAAGAAAATCCATTATATGTGCAGTCACACATTGCATTCCTTAGTCTTCTCAGATCTAGAGCTAGTCAGGTTTTTTTCCAATATTCTTAATATTTTCAGAAAACAACAAGAAAAATACCCTAAACTTTAAAGAAATTACTTTGAGCTCTCTCTTTTTCTTTTGCTGCTCCTTTTTAAAAAGCATTGTTATTACAGCATATATTTTCTTCAAAAGAATATCCTTCAATTAAAAGGAAATTTCTTACTCAAAATCTGTGATGTCAGTGTAACTGTTAGTCTAGAGATCTTAGCTATCGTTGGATTCCAAAAGTAGAACCCTGTTTTCATAGAAAGAGAGGCTGGGCAAGAAAAAGTCACTCATTCATAGAACTGAAATACTCAAGCCACATTTAAATTTTCTTCAGAAACAGTGGTGAGAGAATAGTATGGCAGTCATCTCTCTAGGAGTAATGCCAACTTCAGCATTCCTTCCTTGCCTGCAGCTATGCATGAACCAGATGGAAGACCTTTCTTAAAAATTATTTTTAATGGACTAGTTTCTAGGATAAGATTCCCAGTCTTACCATGTTAGCATAATGAAGGGATAGGAGCAACTGGATCCAGAAGAGTGGCAGTGGCTGTGTTAAGTCAGTGTTTGCTTTGTCGAGGAAAGAAATTCACATCCATATGGGGTTTAAAGCTTTTATGAATGAAAAGTTACAGCTGTATGGAGAAAACCAGAGATCTGACTTTAAATAAACAGGAGCTTCATATCCAGAAACTGTAGATGTGATTTGCTGTGTGGAAACACACAAAACACTAGAACTACATTTGTGTTGCTATTAATCTATTGAATAAAGCATAAATGAGTTTGTTTTCCTTTGTTATTTTGGTTTTTTATTTTTTGTATGCC